TCATTACTGTGACATACATACTTAATACTGTGACATACGTACTAATTACTGTGACGTTCATACTAATTACTGGAAATACATAGTTACATTATGTATTACTGTAACATACGTACTAATTACTGTGACATACATACTTATTACTGTTAAATACATACTAATTACTGTGACATACATACTAATTACTATGAAATACATACTACCTACTGTGAAATCCATAGTAATTGCTGTGAAAAACGTACAAGTTACTGTGACATACGTACTAATTACAATGATATATGTACTTCTTACTGTGACATACAAACTTATTACTGTGACATACATACTTATTACTGTGACATAAGTACTAATTACTGTAATATACGTACTAATTACTGTGAAATACATAGTAATTGCTGTGACTTACGTACAAATTACTGTGACATACGTACAAATTACTGTGACATACATAGTAATTACTGTGACATACATACTTATTACTGTGTCATACGGATTTTTTACTGTGACATGCGTACTAATTACTGTGACATACATACTAATTACTATGACTTACATACTAATGACTGTGACATACGTATTAATTACTATGACATACGTACAAATTACTGTGACATACAAACTAATTACTGTGACATACGAACTAATTACTGTGACATACATACTAATTACTGTGAAATACATAGTAATTGCTGTGACATAGGTACAAATTACTGTGACATACGTACAAATTACTGTGACATACATACTTATTACTGTGATATACATAGTAATTACTGTGACATACATACTAATTACTGTGTCATACGTATTAATTACTGTGACATACGTACTAATTACTGTGACATACTTACTAATTACTGTGACTTACATACATTGTACTACATTATTGTGACTTACTGTACGTACTACATCGTAATTACTGTGATGCTCTTATAACTGACATACGTACTAGTATTTCTGTGACGTACTTATTACTGTGATGTACATGCTAATAACTTTGACATACAGACTGTTTAATGTAATATACGTACTTATTTCCGTGACATACACACTTTTTACTGTGACATGCTTACTATTTTTAGTGGGACAAATACAGTGCCTACTCATTACTATGTGATACAATCTGTAATGACTGTGACACAATTATTCATAACCTTACATACATACTGACTACCGAATAAAACTAAATAGTGAACTCATAAATAAAAGTCTTATATTTGTTTTTCTTCGAATTAACACAAAGACAACAATTTATTAACGAAAGTTGTACGCAATAATATATGAAAATCAAATCTTTTAAAACATATTTCAGATATAAAAATAATATATGCTTTTCCATTTTATCTACTCATCAGTAATAAACTGTGTTTAGCCAAATGGAGATATTATTATTTTCTTTTTCTAATTCATCTTCTTATTAACAACGTTGCGTTCAGCATATATTTTAGTATAAATGTATATACATTTCTCTATTAAATCTTCATTTCTTCCTATATCTTTGTAGAAACAAATTCTTGAATGTTTGTTTAGTTCTTGAAATTAACAGTATATACTTCCGTTAAATAATCAGTAAATTGTATATCATTTATATAATAGTTGATGCCACTCAACAGGTTGACTAGGCGAATTCTGCAAATAACTTCCATAAAACTTAATTCGTAAATTTCCCCTCAAAATACAGTACTATCATTATATATAGTTCGCCCAATAGGTAGTACGTTACCGAGTACTTTCATATATTTGAACTTTATTTGGATTTGACCCAGATTTACATGACGGTTGTCGGCGATGAATCAGAAGACGCGTACCCTTTCATAACACCTGGTCTTATTCTCCTCTTACTTATGTATTTTGCCTCAGTTTTATCGACTTTGAGTTCAAATATTGGTTTTGTAAACACTTCGTTTTTAACTCTTTTTTTTCTATTTTTTCCCGAATCGATAAAATTAGGGCACAATATTAACAAAGGCACTATTTATATTTAAAAAACCAGAGAGAATAAGACCATGCGCTCAAGAAGGGGATGAGTTTTTGCTTCATCTGCGGAACCGGCAAGATAAATTAAAGTAATAGTATATCGTATTTGCTCCAAAGCCTGGTAAAGTTATATCAAAATCCGTCACCACGTAAGGCGCAATATCTTCCCTATCCCCCAACATATTGTGTCGTTACCTGTCTATGGCGATGACAAGGAGGGTCAGTATGCTGGACACCACTGTTACTCCCTGTATATATGTAGTAAACTTGCACAGGAACTCGCCAGTCTTGCCGCCTGTCAACCACTCGTTCGCCACAATGAAGTGGAGGTGGAAGGGCATATTGAGGGTGGCTATCATCAGATCACTGACCGCCAGAGACAGGATGAAGACGTCGGTCACTGAACGAATTTGTTTAACACATCCGATTATGATGATTACCGGCACATTCCCCAGTAAAGCTAGCAATATGATCAGCATGTAGAGGACGAGGAATGTGTCGATTACTGGATTTGGTAACGGTTCCGGAAGCAGACTGTCTTCTGGAATTACAAACGAGGAAAAGTTGAAAAATGGAAAGGATGCATTCCCACCATGTGAGCTGTTGGTGGAAGTTATTGAAAGAGACGAGTTTTGAGATATCCCAGACATTTCTATCACGTGCCTTTACGAAGTCATTTAGACGCTTCTTCCCTAGCTGGTGTCAATATATTATAGGTAATACTTTTGTGAAAGTCAAAATATTCCTGCTAAATGGACCTGTCGTCTGTTCACAAAGATCGCCTTTAGTGATAAGCTGCACGAAACGCAACTTCCTTCAGTCAACACGGAACGTATCAAGCCAACTGACCTACGTGTATATGAACTGAACATCTAAGCTGCTTTAATGTTCCTACTGCAGTACTGATTTACATGATCACCGAACAAGATTCTGCGGATTGAGTAACGACTCCAACGTTTCCAGGAAAAACTAAATAATCATAAATTTCGTAAAGATTCTGCGCAAATAAGGCAGTCGCTGCGATACCACTTCTTTTGATTGAAAGTGAATGAAACACCGTAACAGGATATACGTAGCAGTCCGAGTACGATATGGACAACGAATCAGAAACACTGGCTGTGTGCTGACCATCTGTCCACTGTTATTGGGCTGGATTTAATGCATTTATTAAGATTAATAACCCTCAATCCGGCGACAACAACAGGCAGTAGACGTACGTCATTATCTCGATGTTATATTATTCCTCCTGACTACGTAGGGTTGGGTGGAAACTACCGGGGGCACTCCACTATCACGTAGGGACAGTATCGGAACACTCACCTTGTCTTAGTGTAATTAATGTCAACAGGTGACCCTCGACCCTTCAGCGCACCGTGTCTTTATCGTTCTTGATTCAATAAGTATTTCCGCTAACCAGGCTGATCATAGCACACGATTAGATTTAATAAAAAGATAAATATTGTTTATATATTTTATTGTTTAAACATCCATTTTAACCATGTGAAACAACTACCTCCGAATTATGTGTAAGCTGTTCGTATCAACATAAGTTTTGTACACATACATATTAAACAGATACAATTTCGATATTTCTAGCGTTTAATCGTTCCTTTTATCATGAAGAGTACATGGACAATATCACATATCAAATATGTAATTGCTTTGATGCAATATGTATTGAAGGTTTTAGTTGCATGATTTAATTTCCAATTCACATCAAACTTTATCATTGATCTTACACTGTATATTGATACGTATCATTTGTCTTACACTATACATTAATACGTATCATTTGTCTTACACTGTACATTGATACGTATCGTTTGTCTAACACTGTACATTGATACAGTAAGTATCATTTGTCTAACACTGTACATTGATACAGTAAGTATCGTTTTTCTAACACTGTACATTGATACAGTAAGTATCGTTTGTCTAACACTGTACATTGATACGTATCGTTTGTCTAACATTGTACATTGATACGTATAGTTCGTCTAACACTGTACATTGATACAGTAAGTATCATTTGTCTAACACTGTGCATTGATACAGTAAGTATCGTTTTTCTAACACTGTACATTGATACAGTAAGTATCGTTTTTCTAACACTGTACATTGATACAGTAAGTATCATTTGTCTAACACTGTGCATTGATACAGTAAGTATCGTTTTTCTAACACTGTACATTGATACAGCAAGTATCGTTTTTCTAACACTGTACATTGATACGTATCGTTTGTCTAACACTCCAGTGACACGTATCGTTTGTCTAACACTGTACATTGATACCTATCATTTGTCTTACACTGTACATTGATACGTATCGTTTGTACTACACTGTAAATTGATACGTATCGTTTGTCTAACACTACAGTGACACGTATAGTTTGTCTAACACTGTACATTGATACGTATCAGCTGTCTTACACTGTACATTGATACGTATCGTTTGTACTACACTGTAAATTGATACGTATCGTTTGTCTAACACTACAGTGATACGTATCGTTTGTCTAACACTGTACATTAATACGTATCGTTTGTCTAACACTGTACATTGATACAGTACGTATCGTTTGTCTAACCCTGTACATTGATACGTATCATTTGTCTTACACTGTACATTAATACGTATCAGCTGTCTTACACTGTACATTGATACGTATCGTTTGTACTACACTGTAAATTGATACGTATCGTTTGTCTAACACTACAGTGACACGTATAGTTTGTCTAACACTGTACATTGATACGTATCGTTTGTCTAACATTGTACATTGATACGTATAGTTCGTCTAACACTGTACATTGATACAGTAAGTATCGTTTGTCTAACACTGTACATTGATACAGTACGTATCATTTGTCTTACACTGAACATTGATACGTATCGTTTGTCTAACACTGTTCATTGATACGTATCGTTTGTCTAACACTGTATATTAATACAGTACGTATCGTTGGTCTAACACTGTACATTGATACAGTACGTATCATTTGTCTTACACTGAACATTGATACGTATCGTTTGTCTAACACTGTTCATTGATACGTATCGTTTGTCTAACACTGTATATTAATACAGTACGTATCGTTGGTCTAACACTGTACATTGATACAGTACGTATCGTTTGTCTAACACTGTACATTGATACAGTACGTATCATTTGTCTTACACTGAACATTGATACGTATCGTTTGTCTAACACTGTACATTGATACAGTACGTATCGTTTGTCTAACACTGTACATTGATACGTATCATTTGTCTTACACTGTACATTGATACGTATCGTTTGTATAACACTGTACATTGATACAGTAAGTATCATTTGTCTAACACTGTGCATTGATACAGTAAGTATCGTTTTTCTAACATTGTACATTGATACGTATAGTTCGTCTAACACTGTACATTGATACAGCAAGTATCGTTTTTCTAACACTGTACATTGATACGTATCGTTTGTGTAACACTGTACATTGATACGTATCGTGTGTCTAATACGGTACATTGATACAGTACGTATCGCTTGTTATGGCAAGCCAAGTTGTCATTTATTCATGGAGTACATTGATACGTATCGTTTGTGTAACACTGTACATTGATACGTATCGTTTGTCTAATACTGTACATTGATACAGTACGTATCGTTTGTTATGGCAAGCCAAGTTGTCATTTATTCATGGAGCAATGTTGATCCAGTACTTAACCAAATTATATAAGATATCTCATATATTATATAAGATATCTTATATATTATATAAGATATCTTATAAACATATGAGATATCTTATAAACATATAAGATATCTTATAAACATATGAGATATCTTATAAACATATAAGATATCTTATTTTAAGTTTATGAGATATCTTATATCTTTTAT